GCCTGAGCTCTCCAGGGCTGCTGGAACAGAAGGACTTCCTATTCTCCTCTGGATGTCCCCAAGAAGAGCTTTTGGCCAGCAGATGTCCTGGGCTCCACTCACTACTTCCACCATCCTGCAAAAAGTGATGGAGGAACAGACCCTCCTGCCAGGGGAGAGCATCTGCATCACTACAGAAAATACTCAGAGTATCACTGAAAAAGGTTGAAAGATGTTTCAGAACATCTCTCCTCTGGGACCTGAGCACGCAGAAGTCTGTCTGCTGTGTCAGCCCCTTGCCTGGAAGTATTCCAGGACAGACTGGAGAGGGCTCAGAGCAATCTGGTCTAGTCAAAGCTGTTCCTGTCCATGGCAGGGGTGTGGGAACTACATGGTCTTTGAAGGTCCTTTTCAACCCAAACCACAGTGTGAGCCCATGACACACCTCACGCCACAGCCTGTCCCCTGCTCACAGCTCCCTGATTTGGGGGGCAAAAGCAGTGCCCACATTTCCAACACCAGCCCTGGTTCTGGCCACTGCAGGCAGGGGCACAGCAGAGATGCAGAGGTGCAAGCAGCCTGTGACACATCACCCCTGACCTTCTTCCAGTTCAGAAAAACTTTCTACTCCTTGTGCTTGCACAGTTGCCTCGTTTCACATTTTTCCTAAGCAAAGACAGCCTCTTTGGCTTTGTGCCTGGTCTGGTCCTGACACAGCATCGCTCCATCTCCATTTCCCATGCTGTCCTCTGCCTGCCCTCTGCTCCCCACCATCTCCTCCAGGATCATCCTGCGGACACCACGGTGCAAGGACACTCCCCTGAGGCAGGTGTGCTCAGGTCACCTGGAGCCAGGACAATACCACACACTCTCTGTTCCTGGTCTTCCACCCGGGCTCACTCTCCTCCTTTTTGCTAATATACATAATTTTCTGGAAGAAGCAATTTATCACAGTACTTAGCTTAATGAGCCTTACTGTACATGTTCTGCCTGTAGTGATAATTTTGCATATTTCCTGAGAAATCTTGTTAACGGGGAGATACATGGCAAAACAAACATTTGTACAGCTTCCGAGCAGCTCACACACAAAGACTAAAACAACAGGGATGAGACTGCACCCTTTTGGCTCCGGCCTCTCAGACACCAAGAGCACAGCTGATGTATCTGGCTGCACTAATTATCACTCTTATCACTCTCTGGTCCCCACAGATTGACACCAGGTCTCAGTGGGTCAAAAGTATTCCGTATTCAAGTTGGCCTCAGTGGGACTACCAAAGCCCCATGCACCAGACCTGAAGCTCCCCAACACATACCAAGGGACCCCAGGGCTCAGTGTCCCCTCTGAGGTCTGTCTGCCCCTCAAACCCTGTCCATCACCTCACCAGGCCCCTCCCAGGCTGGGGAGATGACACAGAGCTGACACAGAGTCTGGGCTTTGCCTGCAGCCATGTTAAAAGCACAGAAAAGGGTTTTCCCAGTTTTTGGCTTGCCCTACCATGGTGCGCACCCACTGCTGTGGACAGCGTTCCTGTGGCACAGGGACACCCAGGACCCCTCAGCTGCTGGGGAGCACAAGAACATCTCACACAGGAGCATGTAGGGTTCATCTACATTACTCCTGCCACCTTTTTCCTCACCCTGCTCAGCAGACCCCAGGAGTGAGGACTCCCTGGCATCTCACCCTTCCTGCTCCAGCACCCCAAGGAAGCCAGCAAAGCAGCTTCCCTTCCCCAGTGCTTGTGGGACCAGGAATGCTCTAAGGACAGCCATAATGTTTGACCTTCCAGGGCAGCTCTGCTCCTCCCCACCCCCGAAAAAATCAGCATTTCAATAATGCTAAAACCCATCAAGCTCAGCCAGAGCAGGCGGCTGCGCAAGCTGCGGACGCGCCACCGGCTGTCACCCGCCACGTGACAGCCCCACGCGCGACTGGCAGGGATGGAGGACAGATGAATTATTTACGTGACCCTTCTGGTTGAACAGAAGAGCTTAAAAGCACTGATGGCAACGAAGAGGGTTAAAAAAGGAAAGGAAGATGGCATCTAAACAAGTAAATATATTCATCTCCAAGGTCTGGAGGGACTTCTGCAGCCAGGGGGTTCTGGAAAAGATGGAGACACACAAGACCTGACCTCTGCAAACAGCAATTGTGGTCGACTTCACATTTGTGCCCCCCAGGAGAGAAAGCCTGCCTGGGAACAGCATGGAATTAAGAGGAAGGGATGGATGAGGTCAGGCTGTGAGTCCTGGAGCACCACTGCAGATTTCACCACCAGAGGAGAGGAGAGGATGGATCCACAGAGCCGGACTTGGAGCCCATCTTGCTTCCTCTCTTCCTTTATTTTTAACACCCATCTCCCACAACTCCCACTGGCAGGAAGCAGCGCTGGGAGCAGGGACTTGGCTGTCAGGAGCGGGGATTCAGCCAGCTGGGGAGGGCAGTGGGATGGCACAAACACACAAACATCACTGGAGAATGCACACAAAAACAGCTGCTGGAGATGAACAGGCACAGGAGGAAAGCACACCCCAAAAAATGGGCCCTGCCAATGGCTGGAGGTTTGGAACTGGATGGTTTCTTCCAACCTAAACCACTCTGTGATCCTACAACACTGGCACATCTCCCTCACTTTGTCGCACTCTCAAAACACCATTCATAATTATTTTACCATTTGGACTTGTGTCACATCCTGGAAATCCCAATGTCTCACTCAAACAGAGCTGTCAGCTCTATGGCAGGATGGAGCACCATAGGACTCTCACAATCCTGCATGTACACACCATGTCATCAGGGCTGCTTCTGGGGGTGCTGGGGAACGGGACCAGCTCCAGACCCACTCCAGATGGGCAGGAAAGACCACTCATAGCCACGGCTGTGACACCTGCACAGAAGCAGCCGTAAACAAAGCTCTGCACAGCCTCATCCAAGGCATCCTGCACAGCCCATCCTCAGCTGCTCTCCTCCACAACAAGAGGACATGTTTCATCTGTAGGTTAAATTTCCTGTCCCTGGTTCAGAGCAGACCTCAGGGCACTACTTCCACAAGGGCACTGAACAAGCTCCATCCAGCAAGTCTGATCCAAACTAGAGCCGAGGTTCAGAAAAGAGCCAGGATTAGCATTTTAAATTTCAAGTACCATTTAAAAAATCCTGTTAAGACATGGAGCTCCTGTTCTGTAGAGCAGTGACCGCCCTGTATCCCCTCCTCTGCACCAACAATGCCAGCCCTTTTTTTTATTAATCCTTCTTCCTTATCATCCTTGGCACAATTTAGATACTGTATTAACATGGGAAGAACCAGCCCTGGCTATTAATGAGGCAGCAGAGAGGAAACAAGTTCAAACGCTCCTGACTCTGTGTCCACTGCAGCATCTTGCTCCTCCCCTGGTGCCTGCCACCACTGAGGGTGTAAATCCACGCTGCCTCACTCACTGCAGTCCTGCCAAGGGGCACCCACTCGTATTTGGGGCAACTGGATGCTCAAAAGCATTCCTTTTCCCTGGGAAGAATGCTGCATCCTCAGCATGAGGCTGATGAATAAGGAGCAGCAGCAGGAATGAGGCAAAAACACATTTTATTTTTCTTAAGGCGTATTTAAAGGAACAGAGAAATTTTAAAATAATCCACGGCATCACTTCCCAGCCAGCGCCGGCTGCCAAAAGGACATTCACGAGGCTTCTTTTTTACTATTATTATTAAAAAGCCTGTTTTTCAATCCCATTTCACAGCCTGTGCTGGTGGTGGAGACAGAGCCCCATGTTTGGGTGCTTTCCAGGCAGAGTGGGGAGGCAGCTCTTGGGGGAGTCTCTTCCTCTCCCAGAATCCACAGCCACCCCTGGGCATCTACAGTCAGCCCTGAGCATTCAGAGCTGCCCAATCACCCCAAAAGCCACCCCCTCAGCCCCTTGCTGGCATCACCCCAGCTCTATCCTCCTGGCGTTTTTCAAACCAAACCAAACTCCCAGCCAAGTGATCCTGGTGGGAGCTCTGATGCCTGACCAGACTGGACACCCACAGTGGTCCCCACTGTCCCTCACTCTATGGCAGAGTCCTCCCCACGGGACAGACCCCCCCTTGCAATCCCAGGCAGCTCCGCAGCGCCAACCGTGAAGTAATTTAAAAAAAAAAAAAATCCCCCCAAAAAAAAAAATTAAAAAATACAAATAAGAAAAAGCACTAGCGGGAGGACCAGGGGGGTGGTACGGGGCGGGGGCTGGAGCAGCACTCCGGGATTTCGGGCTCTGCCCCTCCGGCCACTACTGCTGTCCCCAGAGCTCGGCTCCAGGCGTGGGCAGCAGCAGCAGCGCGGCCCCGAGGGTGCAATAGGAGGCTCCGGCACGGGCAGCGGGGGCACCGGAGCCTTCCACCGATGCTCCGTGCGCGCAGCCGCCGCCTCCCACCGCCCGCGCTCCGGGACCGCGGGGGGCTCGGGGCCTCCGAGGGACACACGACCGGCTATAGACGCACACACGAAGCCCGAGGCCTCCCGGACAAGCCGGGGCACGGCGCTGGGGTCACCGCGGTGCAGCGGCCGCAGGCGCTCCTCGGCCCCGCCGCAGCGGCTGCGCCGGAGGATGAACATGCAAAACGGGAGCGGGGCGGGCGCGGCACGGTCCCGGGTGAGCACGGCACGACCCCGCCGCCCGCAGCGGTACAAATACACGTCTGCATCCGCTCCTGGCGGCGGCGATGCCGCTCAGCCGCCGCGGCCCCCCGGTACCGCGCAGATCGCCGCTCGCACCGCCCGTTGCCGGGGAGAACCCGAGCGGTCCGCGGCGGTGCGGGGGGGCGCAGCCCGGGGGACCCCTCCCCTCCTACCCCGACATCCCGGCGATATCCAGGGGGATCATCCTCTGCTCCCAGCCCCCGCCCAACCCCCTCGCCGCCGCCGCTCAGGGCAGGGCGGCCCCTGCGCAGTGAGGGGGGGGGTCGAGACGGCTTCGGGCGGTCCCCGATGGGGGCAGAGGGTTGCCCGCATCTCCCCGTATCCCCCGCATCCCCGGCTGCGCCCCGCACTCACAGCGCGCAGCTCCCCGGTCCGGTCCTTCATCCTCGCCCCGCTGCCGCCGCCGCTGGGAACGGGCAGAGCGCGGGGAGGGGCGGGCGCGGAGCATGCGTGGAGCGGGGCCGAGCGGGGCGGGGGGACACCGGGGGGACCCTGCCATGATGCGGGTGGGGGGGGCTGGCAGGGGGACGCTCGCACCTCCGGTCAAGCTGCGGGGAGCCGACCGGGGGAGGGGGGCGCACAGCTAGGAAGGTCACCGCTACAAGAGGATGTCGCCGGAGGTGGCGGGGAGTCGCGCCGGGGGGCAAATGAAGTGTCACAGTGAGGGTCACACCCAGGGGACCTCACCCTTGGGGGCATCACGTTGGAGGGGGGTCGCACTTAGGGAGGCCGCAAGAATAAGTCATACCTGGGAATAACATCGGGAGGGATCACACCTGGGGAGGTCATACCTGTGGGACATCACATCACGGTGCTCTTAAGGGTGTGGAGAGATGCACAGCAGGGCATCCCCAAGAGCAGGGTGTCCCTGGGTGTCCCTGGGGCCATGGCAGTGGTGCTGGGGGTCCAGCAGACAGCGAGGTTTGGGGGCACCAACAAGACGGGCTGGCTCTGACCTCCAGCCTGGACACAAGCAGGGTATGTTGGGGGACCTACCCTGAGGACCCCAAAACCAGGCTCGCAGGGAGCAGAGAAGTGCCAGCAGGGCTCAGACAGATGCTGCCAGTTTGCCGCTTTTGGGGAAACTGGCAGTGTCGGGGAGACACCCCTCTCCCTCCCCGTTGCCAGGGATAAAAAGGAGCGGGATCTCCCATAGCCGGGGCCTGCGGGTTCTCCTGGGACCAGTGGATTCAGCCGCAGGGCCACGGCTCGCAGTTCCCACAGTCCGACACGTGTCATCCCTGGGATGCCCAGTGCTGGGGTACACCTGGTGCAAATGCCGGGGGTCTCCCCGCGGGTGTTCCGGCCAACACAGCTCACCTTGTGTACAGCCTCACTCACGCCTCACTGGCCGGCACACCCCGCACATCACCCCGCTCACCCCGCACATCACCCCGCTCACTACGCACAGTCCCATATACCATGCACCCGCACTATCCCGTGCTTGCCCCACACAACCCTGCTAACGGCGCACTGCCCGGTTTCCCCCCGGTTTCCCCCCGCTTCCCCCGCACTGCCCGGTTTCCCCCAAAGGTGAGCCCGGCCGGGGCTCCGAGCGCGGCTCTGGGGCGCGGCTCCCTCTGGCGGCTCCAGCCAGAACCTGCGGAATCGGTCTCCAGTACCCCCGGTATCACCGGTACCCCCGGTATCACCGGTACCGGAACATGAGCAGAGGGAACAAGATCACCCAGGGACTGGCAGAGTGGGACAGAAACCACCCCAGAGAAACAACAACCACCTAAAAGGAATCACGGGCTCTCTCCACCTCCTCATGCCTCCAGCAGCAGCCTGACAACACGCTCAGGCGCAAGCTGCCAATGCCCTGCACAGGAAAATTTCCTACAGAAAAAAGAAAACATATGATAGGGATGATCTGTATTCTTTGTCTTTATGTAAGGAACAAGTTGAAAAATATTTCTCAGATTTTTCACAGATGAACATCTGTTATGCTGCCTGAAGAAATCTGTGCATTAGACCTTGATATTCAGCCTGACCTTTCTGGCTTTCTAAGGTCATATTAAGTCATGGGAAACCCACCTTCCCAAAAGCTGATCCTCTCATTCTCAGATCTGGAAAGCTTGAAACAACCTGGAATCACACACCTCCAAGACAAGTTTCACTTTCATGCACTGTAGAAATCCTGCCAACTGTTGTGAAAGTCAGATGATTTTAAGTACAAGAACTTGTGAATAAATTATAGAGAAGTCTGATTCCGTCAGTCCTCTCTGATACTCTGTGTTACCCTAGAAAATTATTTTGACAGATGAGAGAGAAAGGAAAGCATCTCCAGCCTACACGGCACTAGGGTTCACTTAAAAACTTCCTTGACCCAAAGCAGCGAGGGATATTAAATCAAACCAAAGCAATCATTTCAGTGCAGGAACAGGGCACACGGACACTTATTTCTTGACTGATCCAATGAAGTGGGATTTTGCTCAGGTCAGCTTTACTCTGCTATGCATTAAAATATTGGCATTAGCTGCAGAGAACGTGGGCTGCACCTTGGGAGAACAATGAGCATTAATAAAACAGCAGCAGGGGGTGAGAGGCAAAGCAGCCCAGAACTTCCCTTTGCTGCTGGGAGCCTTCCTCTGCTACTCCAATCCCGTGGCTAAAATTTAAACATACTGATCCAACAATCAACCTCCAGTAGTGATTTAGTAATGACCACTTAAACCCCGTGGTGCAAATAAAATACTCCTCCCCTCCCCACACAGCCAGGGGCAGCACAAATCTCTGTAGGACATGGTCCTGCTGCAGCTCCTCCTGCCCAGAGATGGCAGCTCCACACATCCCAAACCCCCTGTCTTAGTGCACATCCCAATATCCTTCCCAAATACCTGTTCTGGTGCACACTCCCACCATCCTTCCCAAACATCCCTCTTGATTCACACCCCAGAGTCCTTCCCAAGCACCCCACCTGATGTACATTCCAGTGTCCTCCCCAAAATCCCCTCCTGGTGCACATCCCAACAGCCTTCCCCAACATTCTTCCCTGTGCACATCCCAGTGTCCTTCTCAAACACCCTCCTGGTACACATCCCAACATCCCAGCATCCTTCACAAAGGAAGGATGCAACTCCTGGTGCACATCCCCAGTCCTGGGATGGGGCCAAGCTGAAGTGCCATTTGAGATTTCCTGACAAGTCTCCAGTTCAGAGTTATCACAGCCCAAATCTTCCTCCATTGAGACCAGAACCCATTCCTGCAGTCTGACTTTGGTGGGAAGCTGTTCCAATCATGTGAGTGATTCATCTCTAGGAGGTTTTTTTCTGTTACACTGGAATTTCTAATGGGTGTTGATTTGCATCATGCAGGCTCTGTCAACTGCCCACAGCCTTTTCCTCCACAAAGCTATCATTCCTGCCATTCCCTTTTGTTTGCACAGCTCATTTAATTCGACCCTGGAAGGCCCTGAGGGCCTTTGAGCTGAGTCCTGCCCCCACGAAGCCCAAAGCACCGGTGAAGCTGCTTGATCCAGTCTCGGACAGACGCCCATTCAGCTGGACGTTCAGCTGGCTCTCAAAAACCATCATAGCTCCAATTTGCTGAAAGGAATAAGCAGACAAAGCCCCAGAGAAACCAGCTACGCTGCTGTAGCTGGTGTAGTCAGAGCTGGGGGGCTGCCAGCCATGTACACACCCCAGAGTCTCACTGCTAGACCCACTCTGGAACCCCCAAGAATCTGCAGCAATTCCTGGCCTGTGCCTGGCCAGGAATGCCTGGCCACTGTCAGTCTGCAGGGAGCTATGTTCCCCTGAACTTGAGACAGAAATAAAAATAGGGGGAAAAAACTGAGAAAAGAACAGAAGAAAGTGGGTAAAGAGTGGGTAAACACAAGCTTTCCCAGGAAGCACCACAGTGTTCTGCAATCAGAGATGCAACAACGAACCACCAACAAACATCAACCTCAAATGAACAGCTTGAACAGTTCAAAGTTCAGCTGCTGTGCAAATGTTATAAACTGTTCTCACTGTCTGCAAACCTTCCAGCCTCAGCCAAAGCTCTGAGGTGAGGTGTGTTTTCAATTGTATTCCTGAACAAAGAAACCTCCTGCTCACCACTGCAGAGCCAGACCTTATGGGCACACAGAAGGAAATGCAGAATGTAACCCTTTTGTGCAGTTCTCCATCTGTCTTTCTTTGCTTTAATTTCATATATTACATGTGGCAGAGAGCTCTCTTTCTCTAGGAATGAATCAGTCTTAAGGTAGAGGTGGATGGATTAATTTTACTATTGGTTGCCCTGCACACAACAGCTAACAACAATTATCAGCATTTCTCAAGAGGTTATCTACTCATTCATCTCAAACAGCATCCATGCCTTGACCTTTTCTTCTCTAAGAAGAAAACTAAATTTACCAAGTCATTTCAATTTTTCTCATGACTTCATTTTCAATCCCTGAAAAGGTGTTACAGGGTTCACAGGTTCCATATCAGTATTTCAGAAGAAATGTGAAAAATTGGTTGTATTGTTTGAGCTTGGTAACAAAGGGCCTTGAAAAACAGGTTTCCTTCCACAGATACTTGCGGAAATGCAAATTCTGGGCCTGGGTCTTACAAGGTTTTACAAGCTCCCTCTCCCACCCAAGGAAAACAACAAAGGAAGGGCTTCTGAAGCTTCCAGGCACCAACACTTGGACTCCTGCTGAGGGGTGGGAGCTTGTGTTGGAGGGAGGATGCCAAGTGCTCCAATCAGCAGAGGTGACACTCATGGCTCCAGGGGCTGGGGCACAGCAGAGGCAGAAGTGCTGATGAGGTCCTGGGGAAGGCTCTCCCGCGCTTCCTGCATCCGGCGCCGTGCCCGCTGGAAAGCCTCTACAACACAGAGGTGACAGCAGGCCAGACAGAAATAAAAATAGGGGAAAAGAATGCGTAAGACAGCCTCAGGGAAGGGGAGGGATGTGTCTTTTCAGTGAACATCATCTCTCCTGGTGCAGGATTCCACCTCCTATGAATAGGTTACACCACCAAAACACCTGGTGCTGCTCTACCTGCCGCTCTCTGATTTCTGTACACAATGGAATCAGACACAGAGTCTGTGCTTTAGTGCCACCAGCTCTGCCCAGTGCCAGGCAAGACTGGACAGCCCAGCCCAGGCTGTGCCCTCACAAAGTGATTACCCCTCCTGCCTGCTCAGAGCTGATGCCTCCTGAAGTTTCCAGCCCAGAGCAGAACATTTAACCTCTGCCACAGACTCAGAGCTCACAGGGAGGGGAATTACTCCCACAGTAATGGATTATCCTGAAATATCCAGCCCACTCTGTAAAAAGGGAGCCAAAGCTCACCAAGACAGAATGACACTGAAGGGCCTACCCAAAACATTGTAGACAGAGCTCTGCTGGCTGAAGCCTCCCAGTCGGTCCAGTACACTCTGCATGCGCT